GGAGCTATAGATCATGGTTTAATTCTCTTTCTCTTTTTCTCTTTTTCACTGCAACTATGTTATGTATATGGGTTGACTATATATAAACTACAAATATATACGCTTGTAGCTTTAAGGAAAAAATACGGTAATGTATTATGCTGTGTTCCGGTGGGTTAATGATGCTACAAGTGGCCACAAGAGGGAGCTATAGATCATGGTTTAATTCTCTTTTTCTTTTTCTCTTTTTCACTGATGATCTCTCTTGATACCGATACTGACCGACTACGGACCAATACTAACTAACTCTGTTTATTTTGATATTCTGTGGATACCAAAGTTTATCTGTTGTATGATGGTTTGATATTGGTCTGCTGTAAAAGACTTGAAACCGGTTAAGAAGACTTTATAACGGGATATTTCTGGACTGTTAAAAACGTGCATGACGTGGACCGTTTATCGGACTGTGCTATTTCATCAAGTAAACATGAGTACAACTTGGTCAACTCTGTGACTGTGTATTTATTTCTTCATAACTGGTCTCATCAACCGTTTTCCGTGTGCATATATCCTTTTTACACAAGGGTTACTCTGCACGTATCCTGACAAACTACATGGGTAAAGGATTCAGGGTATGATAGAGTAGGTGCGTGGTAATGGCTTCAGGCAAGAGTGACGGAGTCTCCCCCAACCCAACCAAGGGTCAATTCAGTGACCAATCAGGATGACAGATGTGACCACATGACATGGACTACATTTCCCTGGATAACTACATTTTCCATGATGCACTCCCTTAAGGGGGACAGCTCTCAAATCCTAACTAACTATCCCAAATCCCATGAACTGGACAGCACAGGTGCTGCTTAGACAGTATATAGTTAGTTGGGAATTGGGAGCTGTCCCCCTTAAGGGAAATGTAGTTAGTGCCTCATGGGAGATGTAGTTCATGTCATGTGGTCACATCTGTCACCCCGATTGGTCGCTGAATTGACCTCTACTTGGGTTGGGGGGCGGGGGGAGACTTTGTCCACTCTTGCCTGGATCCAGCATCGTGCTGGATCGTCACGGGGTGAAGATAACCCTATTTTCACACTACGAAGACGACTACGCAAAGAGTTGGACATTAGATGAACCTCAACGTAACTGTGAGTTATACCTTGAGGATGCCTATTACAATCCAATCAAGAAACTTTGTCGCGTGGAACTGACCGTCTCTATATTCAGCCAGAAAATTAAGAGAGACAGCACAGGAACGATCGGGGGGTTGTGGCGCGGACACAAAAGGGTGTCTTCCATTTATTTACTGCCGGGGTGTGTGTGTGAATCCTGCTCCCCGGGCATCTTCTCACCTGAGTCGAGAATGGGATGACCTGCTCCATCTTCACCACCCGGTCCCTCAGCGCCCGGATCTCTTCGTCCTTCACGTTGTTCTGGATCTTCACTTCCTGCAGGATGTCCGTCAGCTTGTCGATGTGCGCCCGGAGTTCGCCCACTTCTACGCCCGGCGGGCTGGCCCGGCTCTCCGGGTTCCCGAGCGCCGGGCTGACTCCGGGCGCGGGGCTCTCCGCCTCGCCCACGCCCACCGTGTCCCAGACGTCCCTGGCTACGGCGCGCCAGCTCTCCCGTTCGCTGGGATCGCGCCGTCCGCAGAGGCGGCAGAGTTCCTTCATCTTGACGATGCTCAGGGCCTCGATCTCCTGGCGGGAGTGCCGGAAGTCGTTGAGGGCCACCTCGTAGCAGATCTCCTTGACCGCCTGCATCTTCAGGTCCGCCAGGGTCAGCCAGCGGGGGTCCTTGGCGGCCCGGCGCCGCTGAGGGATCTGGTACACCCGTAGCGGCTCCCTCTTCTTGCCCGAGCTGGGCAGGCCGCAGCGGCGCACAATCGTTTGCACTTTAGTGGCCGGCAGCTTCTCCCGCAGCGAGGAAATGAGGCGCCAGCTCTCCTCGCACGAGCGCTTGTCCGAATCGTCGCCACTGTCTGAATCTGCGTACTGGGAATTTGGGGGGGGGGGGTTCAAGGTCAAAATGATCCCCGCAGAAACAGACACTAAGCCCAAACACGCCTTCACTTAAGGACCACAACTGAGCACGCCCCCCCCTTCAACCTTTCTCTTAACTGTGACGGCGGTTAAGTAGGTTTGGTCCCCGTTTACGGTATTTCTTGGCCACCGTTCTTAAGCGAATCGCTGCAATTCCATGAGCAACCTGGCTGTAGCATGGCTTTGGCTTGGCAGGGGGCCATCAAAGGGAATCATGTGCCCCCCCCCCAGGACCGTCGTAACTAGGAGACAAGTTGGCCAAGCTTGTCTGAATTCTGGTGACGCTGACACGGTTGCGTGGAAAATGGTCAATAAAGTCCCTTTTTTTTTTTTTGAGCGCTGTCGCTAACTTGGAATGGCTGCTAAATGAAAGACTCCAGCACTCCCTTGTGATGCCTGGTACAGATAGTCCTCAACTTATGACCCCAACCGATGCCGTCCTTAAGTGAGTCGTGGCCCATTTGATGCCCTTTGGGGTCGTTCCGCAAGCCGGTCTGGCTTCACCCCCACCCCCATACCGCTGCGGGGAGGAAGCCAGCGTGGGCCGGAGGGTCTCGAGAACGGCCACCTACCAGCCTCTGCTGTTCCAGGATCAAGTCCGCTTCCTCTTTCTCGCGGCGGTACTGCGTCTCCAGATCCTGCAACCTGACCGGAAAGCCGGACATTGAAACGAGGACATGGAGCGGCCTC